GACCAAATATCTACATTTTCCGCCTCCCATCTAAATTGAGCGAGTGACCCTCCAGTAAGGCTGTCTTCAAAAGCTTCTCCAGCAGCGCACATTGTTTGTGTATAGTCGTTTCGAAGGAGGTCATGGAAGGCTGCTAGTAGCCTTGGATTATTTGCGAGGTCAAGGTAGTCTTTCTGCTTAATCTTATCTGGGTTCCCTCTCTGAGGAAAAATAAAGCAGAGAATTCCAGTGAATGTGCCGCGAACTTTCCTCCACTTGCTACCTTTCTTTTGGTGGCCCTCTAGTTTTGCTTCAGGCCAATTAACAGCTCTTAGAACTCTCTGCTTGACCTCAGAACTGCATCTTAATTGTCCAGTCCTAGAATTCTCCAGGTGGTCTACAAGGCGGATCTGATCGAGCCTGACGCGAAGTTTCTGCACATCCGAGTCGGTCTCAGATATGTTGAGGTTGGTAACGCATTGCACAAGGCGTTCCTCATAACTATTCGTATTCTTAAAAGACCTAGAGCTGCTCTGCGCGCGGCTAGCCTTAACCATTGCACAAAACTGTAGAAGTGCGGACCGACTCTGCATCGCCGCCACCAGTTTGAGGACTTGATCATGCTGGTGGCCGTTAGGATCTTCGATTGGTGTTGTGCAAACCGAGTTCACAGATTCCTTTGCATTTTCCTTGCATTTTAGTTCTTGAAGATGGTTCGGACTAACTCTGTGTTCGGAGACTTCGGAGACAGCTTGGTGGATTGAAACTCGCTTGTTGACTGGTGTGGCCCTGGGTTTCGCCATTTTTACTTGTTTGTACAAGTTTCGGAGGCCACATTCGGAGCACACACGCAGTCCAGGAGGTATGGCATCCTCTCCAGGGGGCAGAAAGTTTGTTGATATGGCATAGCTGTTGGTAAAATTAATAACGGCATGATACTGTCGAGGCTTTGTCACCAGCAGGTCTCCAGGTCCAGTGCAACGTATGTCAAACTCAATTCCTCTGTCACGAAGGCTTGAAGGAGCAAACAGCAGGCAACAGTGACGTACAAACTGGTCACACTTGTCTGGCCATTTAGTGCGCACAAAATCCTCGAATTTCGCGGTATGGTGCTCTCGTATTAGAATCCATGCCTTCCAGCCAAATAACGTTAGGTTGCAAGACCATAAGCGTGCGTCCTCGTGATGAAATGCCGTGCCTGAACCCCTTTCTCCAAGATGATCGTACACAGAATTCACACCCGCTATATTATCGAGCTTCGACAGTTCAGGCCCAGAGTGGAGTAGATGATCGAAGCAAGTCGTAAGTCGTGGCCCAACGTAGTAAGTGAGCGAGGATTCAGGTGGGTCTTTTACCGTTTGTTCCAAGTATTTACTGATGTCATGAAGTGACGGTCGATTGATTGGCGTAGAAGGATCTGGAAATTTAAACTGCCGTGGCCTCTGTCGCGATATATCCTTCACCAGCATGGTGCATGCGGGCATGACATCAACAGGTTTGTACGTGACGAATAAGTGTGCATATCCTTGCTGAATGTCAAGTAGTTTGGCGACGTCCTTCCATTCAACTTGATATAGATCCTCGATGGTAATTATGTTGGAGAACGAGTCAGACAGGGCGAATTTAGAAAGGTTCCCAACCAGATTATCGCCCATATCTGCGACAGATATCGTCTGCACCTGCCAATGGGCGAATACAGGGGAATTGGCTCCGTCAGAAGTTGCCGACGTCAAGGGAGAGGCTGAAATGACCTCAGAATCTGTCTCCAATGAAGCTGGCGATACGGACCTTGAATTCGACTTTTCGCAAGACGTGCCCTCTCTGAAAGCATTCACCTGTTTCGAGGGATGGGTTGACTCCTGCGACATTGTCAGTGATGGCCAGAGCCGAGTGCCGACGTCCGAAATTCGCCCGCTTTGATCCTGTGATGGAGTCCATCCATTCATTTGGGAGTGGGTATCCGATTCCTGAGAAGAAAGGGTTTTCTTGATGTCTTCCACGTCACGACGAAGCTCGGAAAAGGCCTTCGTGATGGCCTCCCACTCTGGGGTGCGCAGCGGTCGTGATCTAGACTTGCGTTTGCGTCCCCCATGACCTTTTGCCGCCAGGCGTTCCAATTGATTTTGAACGCTTGTTAACAGGGATTCGAGTTTATTGATTTTGGCCTCGAGTTCAGTCATTTTGTCGGCTGATGAAGATGGAAGCCAGTGTTTGAGAGCTGAGTGGACTCGGACTGAAAATGATCAAACCTAGGTTGTGGTGCTAGTGTTGGTAACTAGGTGTTAGGATCCACCATGGCCAAGGGCACCAGCCACCTGCATTTGCAAGACGCCGGCAAATCCATGGCCCAGTTTGCCTGACCCAGAATCTGAGATTTTATTTTGCGTTCCGACAACATCACGGCAAAGTTCCGAGAAACTTACTCAAAACTGGTCGATAGTGGATTCACCAGGCCTTCGGAACACGCGAAGTTTGGCCCAGAATTACTGACCCACAGCAGCGATGCGAATTGGACCATCGAGTGCAATCGGCCGTGGCCATTACACCGAGCTTTGGCTGGCTTTAGGCCAACCTCCTGTATCTGAACATCGCAGTCAGCATCGTCTGGAAGTTAATCGTCCCCAACACTTGAAGGACGCAAGGCTGAGAGCAGTATTGACGGTTCGTATACAAAGTAAGCTGAACGAATGGGGCATACATAAACGGGACTAAGATTGATCATATTCTTTCAACTAAACACCTAGCTATTATACCCCCACACCATTACTTTATCTTCACCGGGGGAAGAGTTGCAATTCCTATAACTATCCTATTCTTGCTCCAATCTTAGAGACGTCATACTCTGCTAAAGCCTAGGTCGCTGGAATGGATTCATTCCGTTTTATTTTACGGCAAGTCTCGTTCGAATGATTGCGCAGCTCGACCATTTCCGTGCATATCTAAGCGTCCCCTTTTTCGTGGCAGCGTGAGACTGGCAAGAGTGCTCTTGCTGCTTGGAGTTTGAGCGCCCAACCCAGCAGCCTGTGGATTACGCCCGTCAAGTTCTTTAAAAATATCCTTCCCTCTGTTAGTTCCGAATATGTTGTTCAGTAGAACGGGTTGCGGTACCAGAATTGGTGGAATGGTTACCCATTCGAGTTTCTTTTCATGTTCGGACTCAATGAAATGCACGCGTTGGAAAGCTCCCAGATAGTCCTTCTCAATTAACTCCTTGTCATATGCAAACGGACGGAGAGGTTGGCTGTCTGTATTGTCATCGCGAGGTGTTGCAGCTTCTACGTAGCTCGTCTCTGTAGCTACGTTCTTGCATGTTATCTTATGTGTGCAAGTCGCAATACATGGAGGCACGTTGGCACATGGCATACCATTGCAGTTCCTCATGACTGCAAGTTGTGGTCTATGAGAGGCGGTATAGCGTCTCTTGGGTTGTTTCCTCCCAGGCTCATAATCGCTATCGTCCGCATCTTCGACTTCGCTGTCGTTGTCAGCTTTGGTTCGCCCGTCGAGCTCTACATCGCGATTGACGGATCCGTAAGAAGCCAGAGCCTCAGATTTGATAATGCTTTGCTGATGCGCTATTTAAGGACACAAGTTAGCTAGACTAGCTATAGCTGCTCCGGACTGAGACACTTACATCGCACGTTTTCTCGAGAGGTCCTGAAGTTCGCCGCCATGGGGTAATTACAGACTTTCTTGCCATCACAGAACTCACTCAAGGGTTTAAAATATTTAGTTTCCACCCATTCGTACCAAGAAGTTACCCTGCTAAAGAACATGACGGGATGTTGCTGGTGACTGCTTGCCTGATACTCCTCGTTCCTTCGAATAACTCTATCTGCTTCGTTACAGGTGTAACCCTTTGGACAGTGTTTCCATAGCGTTGTATCCCACATTGTCCTCTCAAGGCCAATGTGTTGAAAGTCTCCGAGCGGGAGAGCCATGGCTGCGTAAACCTTGTTCCTCCGTTATATCGCATATAGCGACCCTTCAGTAGGTGTCTGCAGTAGTTGAGATGTTGAGTTTTCGCGGGATAGTTGTAGTGGATGAGCCTCCCATGGTCGCTTCATTTTTGCCGCAGTAATTTTTGTCTATTTTGGACATGGAAGACTGTAGTGTCGTAGGCTGGACGATCAGTATTCTAGGTCGGTGTTGGTCGAGGTACCTGCTGTCATATATTTGGCCACTTCGTTTCATCGGCTACAAGGCACAAAATATTGTGGCCTCACCCAAACGCGTCAGGAGGTATTGTAAGCCTGGTAATGCATTGTAATGCAATGTCTAAGCTGGGCAAAGCACAGATATGCTGGTAACTTGTCGCTCTTATGAAACATGCCATGTTGCGATTGGAGTATAATCGGCGTAGAGGGTGTCTGCATTATGAACAGCGGTCGCCTACCAAAAGCCACAACTGGTGCCACTAGAGGGCGGCAAGCTACTTCAGTCTCAGAAAGGAGAAGGCACAAAGTTTGGTTGGATGCGTTTTCCATGAGGCAGCTGTTGATTATTTGATTTGCGAACAGCTCGCGCCAGGATCCTCATGTCGTTGTTGGCCTACCCATGCCGAACCCTTTATACAAGGTGGGAAATTAGGACTCTGTTACATTCGCTACGTAAAATTGCATTGTCTGCAGGCATCTTTGTTTCTCGTTTAGAAGTCCTTTTAAAAGATACACCCCCGGTGTGGCTTTTCTGTTGTTTTGAGGCTACATGGCACACCTGGTAAGACGGTCAAGGGGGAATGGGCAACCCAGAAGCTGTCACTTCTGAGTTTGGCGGCGGAATTTTCGGGGCTTCGGATTGTTGAACTCTTTTAGATGCCTTACTAGCCGCAGTAGCCGTTGTTAAATACCAGGATTCACTGTGGGCATGGGGGGTTTGAAGGGATTTTGAGTGAGCGGCTGTCTAGTGTACATTGAGTCTATGATGGGTCCACGGTTTTCCAAAACCACATGAAGTAAGTCATATTGAGCCGCATGGCGGTACCTACTATAGACGGCCAGCTATCTGGCATGTTTTGACGTAGTGTAAGTGAAAAGATGCTAACAGCGCGAAATATAGGAAGACCAATGGCTCTCTACGCGATATCCTTGACCCTGGTATGCATTGTGGGAGTAAAGGCCGCTCGGTGTTGAATTGAGAATCACATTTTTCAGCCAGCAGCCGAAGGATCTTCAGTTAACAAAGGGAATAGTCTGCTGGGCCTAGATGCACCAACGTCGCTGCCCGACATTGGACGCGTAGCAAATTAATATTCCTTTGCGGAAGAAAGGGGCGATACGAGACTGCAGTATTTCTGGGCTCGGAAATTACCTACCAATCACTTAAACAGACAGACCGTAGACTAAATTATGCAAGTCTCTGTATTCAGAAGTGAGCTAGCACGGGCCAAGACGAAACAGCCTTGTTCAAATCTTCATGTTCTGGGATAAGCTGGGATAAGAAGGGTACGATCCCTGCACCACCCGCTCCTAATACCAAAAGGAAGGGATATCACCAGCGACTGCAGGGGACCATACCTTCTAGATACCCTTGCCTGATCTCGCAAAGTCCTTGGCGGTTAGTTCCAGAGACTGGACATTAAGCACAGGTAACTGGCCGTGGGAATTCGTATCTTGAAAGCAAAACTTGGGCTTTGTTCTGAACACAGATCACCAGTAAGTACTAGCTTGAAACTGCGTGACATTCTTAGCAGGAACCGGCACTATGGTGGCCGGACTGACAGGTAACGCATAAGGTTATTACTGCAATCGCAGTCCCACGAGTAAGGAATTGAAGATGTAGTGTTTGCAGACCATCAGATGGCATCATAATTCAACTGCCACAAGCTCATGTGTTACATTCGAGGTTGCCAAAGATTTCGAAGCGATTGAATGCATCTATCTCTTAGATTGGGCCACCTAGTCTCAAACCAAAATAGGTCCCTTTATCATAGCATCTAAAGCTTGGTCCGACTCTGAATATTATTCCACCGACTGCATCTCAAAGTGTTGACGCTGAAGCAAACGAAAGCAGTTGCAACGCCTGTGGGTGATGAATTGCTCAATCTCACAAGATCTGAGTCCATCTTTCCAACCATTCTGTTGTAGCATGGACTATTCTCGGTGGGAAAAATCAGTGATAGAATCATCGTCGACATGTTGTCTAGACATGTATCCGGGCTCGACGCTGCCTTCACCACAGGCAAGCTCTTGCCCAAGGGCGCCTCCGTTGCCGGCCTCATTTGGCATTATGTGGCCACTTGAAGTTCTCTCTCGGTATCCAGAAAGATAAATTCCTAAAACCTCCGCGTAATTATCGAAACCGAGTGACTTCATTGCGGATAGAATATCTTCTGCATTCACAGCCTTTCGTTTCTCGGCCACGGTCTTTTCGCAAGCTGGTCGCCAAGAGTCGTTTAGTAAGCTTGTTATCAAGAATAAATGGTATCATTTAGCTGGCATGGTAATCACTGCCAGCTCGCGAGCAGGTTCCCAATCGACTCACCCTCAGAAGTAATGAATGAAATGAATTCGCTAGTGCATCTCTGGACACACACCTTGGCCTCGTTGGAAAGTTTCGCATTGTCCGGTAGGGCCTTCTTCATAATTCTACCGACTAAAGCAAAAGCACAAATATTAGCATCGACTGAAGCTTTCTGTTTGTCTGTTTTAACACAATAGCTTTGCTCTATTTGTAGCAAGTGTGTGTTCATGAGACATGAGAGACTATGATTGCGCCTGTTAAGGACGACCAATACTCACTATTTTGTAAAGGCAAATATAAATCCTGCTCTTGTAGTTCTTTATCGTTGCTAGCTGCGCGGCTGTCCGTTTGTAACTGTGGATTATTCTTCATCCTCTCTGTCTCTGGTGACTATATTCGTTGCTTGACATTAAGCTATGTAAGTTGCAGGTGCAGTCTATTTATCTTAATCGACGCCTGCCAGAATATAAGAGGCAGGGAAACGGCTTTCGTCTCTTTTATCCCTAATAGCCGGACGGAACTAGTCGAGGAGTGTGTGGCGTAAGGCAAGGTTCAGTATAAGACCTTGGGCTTGTCAGGTATGGAGCAGGCTAGCAACCTGTGATGCATTTATGTCAAGCAGTGTGACCAACAGAAGGCACCTTCGCATCTTCCCTAGCTACAGGTTCAACCCATGGGACCGGAACACACCTCGCGTGTTAGTTCTTCCCCATGCAGTTACATGATGCCCGGGGATATAGTTGTTATATACACCGCCATGTCGTTATAAGACAGTGCTTAATCAAAAAGCCGGTCTGTCGATCCTCCAGCTGTCAGCTCGGTGACTTCCATTTTCCAAGTTCGGGACTAATCATTGTATATGGTGGATAGCTTGCTCTTCATCTCGCCCTCCAGCCCACAGCTTGTATTAACATCATATTCCGGCATCCCCCTTCCTGTTGAAGGATTTTAAGATAGCGAACCTAAGTCACATCGTACTACTTCCACTAGCTTCGAAATTGTATTTCTTGCGGCATGTTGCCTTCCGTCAAGTCGTTCAGAACCGGCTGGTGTCAGTTATAAATAGCCGGTGTGCCTCAACCTGGAACCGCAATCATCCGATCGAGTCCTCAACATCCTTCGAGACTTCCCGAAGCGCCCCAGTCATCTCCCCCGAGAAAATGGCTAAATCCTGGGATGAACATAAAGACATCATATTGGAGTATTACGCTCGTCATAATCTTTTAGACACTGTCAGATACATGAAAGAGAGATACAACTTCCATGCTGTGTAAGAAACAACCCATTTTATTCAACGGCAACTCAGCGCTATCACATTCTGATACAATATGATAGACCACGATCTTACCACAAGAAATTCGTCGAGTGGAAAATTTGCAAGCACGAGAACAGAACAAAACAAGGCTATCGAGATATTACAGCATATTCGCGACTGTCCACGGAGCTCACTCAGGGTAGACCAAGCGAGGCCTTGTCAAACCTTACATCCGACGAATGCTCAACGAGCCATACGACGTCAAGATGCTCATCGCCACCCACGAAGTCAGAGGCGCCGCAAATGGAAGGGACGGGACGACACAGTCTGACGTGCCCCGATATCGAGTGGAGTGCAGAAGAAATCATTAGGCAGCTGAATAACTCTCAGAAACTCCTAGAAGAATGCCTCGCAAAGATGGCTGCCTACATCGCAGAACGCAGAGCTTTTGCAAGTACCAGCACCCCTTTTTGACAAAGTAGAGGAATACCACGACGTGAATGATGCTCGAGGTAACATACTTTGGTTTCTTTTGTCTGCTATAGGAATATCATGTCAACCAATTATTGCAACATACAGGAACCAAATGTGTGCCTTCTTCTCGGTGAAGTCACACCCGAGCTGGCCATGGCGGAAATCTAGTCTCATAGAACCATTTGTTGGCCGTCCTCGCGCTTGTGGCAAATAGATTTTGCAGCTGGTTTCGACAGGACCTTATCTTTCTTGTCTAATAAGTAGCGGTGACGTTTTGATAATATAGTCCTGTTCATTTTCATCTTTGCAGCAATCTTGTCCCCGGACATCCCTTGGACTCTTAGTTGAATGAGCATGCTGTCCTTGTCGGAGTTGAAGGAAGATCTAGACGACCTTGCTTTCGAACAATTGGATCTCAATGTCTTCAATTTGCAACTAGGGAAGTAACTGTGGATAGTTGTCCACGATTGGAATTCCTCACGAAGCCGCAGAAAGAGGTCATCGGACTTTGTTGTGTGGAAGACTGGCCTTGGGGCTTTCCTCTGTGACTGAGAAGGATCCGCTATCGCTTCGTAGGCGTTAGACTCAGTCAAGACACTCTCTACAGTGTCACGGTGTTTGAGGGTGGATTCGGTATAGTCGGCATAATTCTCATTCTGTCCCCAAGCTTCTGACCCAAAGGAGGCATACTGTGTACACTCCCATATTTTGTTCTCACATTCACTGCAGATATGAGCAACAAAGAATTCATCCTGGTGACAGACTATTAAGTGACTCTATCATGAAGTGAGAAAGCAGGTTTCCAAGATTCAGGTGTAGGTCAGCCTCCCACCTTGTAAAACGCCAAAGTCAAGCACTCGCCGCATTGAGGACAAGGGATTCCAAATACTTCGGAATAAAAGTTGTACTCAGCAACGGCGCAGACAGAGCAATCTGTATTCTGTTAGTCAATAGCTGGCTTTGGGACGAAATACTTACTAGGCCGTTCTGTTTCAACTTTGCGATCTGCTTCCATGGTGTTCGTGAGGAAGCCTTCCCGTAAAGAAATCTTCGTGTGAAGAAGTCTTCGTGTAAAGAAGGCCTAGACAAATAACGAGATGGTCGCAAAGGGTGGGCTTCTATGAAGTGATTATTATTGAATGCTGAGTGCATGTACCGTTTCCGTGACGTTCAAGTTGATGACAATTAGCGTTCGGTTACAGTGTCCTTGGTGCAAAGTTCGGGGTGAACATATGGGAGTGCAAAGGATAACAACCTAAGCTTTGGGAGACGAGGACCGAACGAGAGGTGAAGAGAGCCCGCGTCATGTTAACAAAGACTGGGCAGGAATATCCTAAGAACAATTACACGAGCAAATAGCAACTTTATAATAAATTGGACGAGTCACGACAGATTACAAGGGATCAAGCACCGTGACTACATAGCAGTTACCTATTCTAACTAGCTGTCTGTGTCGACGCCGCTAATCTACACCTCCCTCCATTCCCATACAGCTTGACCAAATTAGTGATGCACAAAAACGGGTTCTGCGACTCCTCGGGTGTTCGAAGGCTCGTTTCTCAAGTGTTTCTTTTGCGGACCGCGATCGGCTCGTCGTTCCCTTTTATTTCCCTCGTGAAGAGTCCCCAGCACGACTGCCTAATCAAGCCGGTTTCGAGGTCTCGGAAATGTCATGATATGTCGATTAGTTGTTGTCATTACTCTCATTACTCTTAGCCGAAAACTGCTTAGTGTTCTTGTCCCAGTGTAGTCTTCTTTTCCTCATTGCCATGCTATAACCCAGCCATAAGATTCTTTCGCAACGTTTACTAACCGTTGACGCAGGCTCAAAGCACTTTTCTTCTTCATCAATCGCCGTATTATCAAA